TCGTTACTATTATCTATCCCATTTATTTTCCAGTTATAAATTAGTTAAGCTAGGGTCTTTCAAGAAGAATGCACACAAAATTTTGAACACAACTGCAAAGGACTCCCGATTCCAGATTAGAGAAGTCCCACCAGAGATGATCCATAAGCAACCTGGTTTACAGTAAAGTGGTTCTTAACCTCTGTTGAGCCATGGACCTCTTTGGTAGTCCAATGAACCTACAGATCTCTTCTCAGAATATGTTTTTTAAGTTTTAAAATGCACAGAATCACAAAACAAACCAATTATGTTACAGTTACCAAAATATTTTAAAATTTCTACTTTAGTAATAAATGTGCTTCTTTACTGATGCATTAAATAACAAGATTAAAAAACATTTTTTTACTGTTTATTTTTGAGAGAGACAGAGAGAGAGAGAGGGAGGGAGGGGGAAGGAGAGAAAGAAAAAGCACCAGTGGGGGAGGGGCAGAGACAGAGGAAGAGACAGAATGAAGCAGGCTCCAGGCTGAGCTGTCAGCACAGAGCTCAACATGGGGCACGAACTCATGGAACTGTGAGATCATGACCTGAGCTGAAGTCGGGACACCCAACGGACTCAGCCACCCAGGCACCCCTAAATAACAAGATTTTTAAACATACAGTAACAAGGACTAATGAACAGTATTTCAAGATACATGCAAAAACTGCAATATATGAAAATATTTCTTGTAGCATCCATTGAAATTTCCATTATTTTCAATTCTAGATTTTAATTAGAAGCTAGTGAAAACAAACAGGCAATTTTTTTTTCCTCAGCAAAGTTCACTGACTTCCTTAAGTTTATCTAAGGACCCAGATTAAGGATCCCTGGCTTATGGGAAAGTGTAAAAAATAAGTTCTGGAGTCAGAGACTTGTGTTCTAGATGCCAGACTTCAGACTTTAGCCTCCCACATAATTTGCCCCCCACCTGAATGACCTTAGACATCAAACTGAGCTTTGGTTCACTCAGAATAATTTCTAAATCTTACAGGTTATTCCTATAGTTATAAGGATCAAACATGAGTAAACACACAAAATGACCAGTGTGTTGTTTTTTTTTTTATTTTAATACCATATATTCAGCCCCAAATGTTTAGTGACATCGTTTTCAATAACTCATAGGAGAAAAATTAAAAACCACATACTGATTCACAAAGAAAATGATTAATGGAAATATTAATTTCATGTAAAGGTTTAATAAGAGACAGGATTTGACATTAGAATGACCTGTATCTAAATCCTAAATCCACTACTTTACTTCTACGTTATTAACCTCTCCACCTCAGCTTTGTTTGTTTTTAATATTTATTTATTTTTGAGAGACAGAGTGCAAGCAGGGGAGGGGCAGAGAGAGAGGGAGACACAGAATCCAAAGCAGGCTCCAGGCTCCGAGCTGTCAGCACAGAGCCTGACGTGGGACTCGAACCTACAAAGCGTGGGATCATGACCTGGGCTGAAGTTGGACACTTAACCCACTGAGCCACCCAGGCGCCCCTCCGCCTCAGTTTTCTTATCTGTAAAACGCTGCAGTTGTTTTGAGAAAGGAGAGGAGCTAGCTTAAACACTCAATAAACGGAGCTCTTATTAAAGATCACATTTTAACAAAGCCAAAGGAATCAATTTGGAACTCAAAAGTTTATTTTGGAATTCATGTTCATGTAAGTAAAACTTCACATTCACTTGCCCAGCAGAACACATACACACTTAAAACCTAAAGCATTTGCATGGCACAACGCTCCTAATACAAACTGGCACTGTTTAAAATCATATTGATTTCTTATCCTGCAAAAAACAAAAAACAAACAAAACATAAAACAAAAACACAAAAGCAAAAAAAAAAACCCCAAAAAACAAAAAACCTACAATGAGGATAAAAAACGGTAAACAGAATGGGTTCAGTAATTTCAAGTCTTTTCATGATTTACTTGGAAATTCCAATGAATGTCTGTTACCAATGCTGGACATACTGTAAGGTAGCTGTCTCTTTAAAACCCAATGTAAAGATCTCAAATTTATCAGCTACACGTTGTCAGATTTAAAACAAACAAACAAACAAAAAAATTAAACCATGTATTTACTTTATGCCGGAATACTACGGAGTAAGATCCATCCCTCCCTCCGGAAAAAAACCTGCCACAGACTGGCCCGGCTTCTCGATCAATTATACAACCTGTAAATTCCTTCCCTCATTGAAAAGATTCTTTTTATGGGCATAGTTAACAAGTGCCAAGTTGCGAAGTTGCAGCTTTGCTGGTTCGACGTTTTCACAATGCAAGAACAATATGATCTGGAATCTACTCAAAGCATTAGCCAGGCAGTCAGCTGATGCTCACTGCACACAAGAGAAAGACAGAAATAAGAGAAATTAAACCTCGTATTTGTGGAAGGCAGGTATCCACCACCTTCAAAACCAAAATAGGCCAGCAGCAGACGTTCCAGTTAAAATAAAAGTAGTTCCATTGTTAAACAACATATAAAAACCGGCTTTCCCCAGACTAGGCTGTTCTCATTCTTGGAATTTTCCTTGTATAAGGGCTTTTATCCGTTCATAAAACCAAACCTCATCACGGAGCCACTGCCTGAGTAACTTTTACAAAAGGTCAAAGCGGTGCCTTTCAAGGCTTCCAAAGCCTATCGGCGTCTCCTCCGTTCACAGTAATTCGCTTTCCACCCACAGAACGTTCCAGAGACTTAGGGACGGGGACCAAACAAAATTTGGTGGGGGGTGCTAAGAAGAAGCTTTCAACTTTCTCTTCAACATACTTATACAGAATTTCACCTTCCTCCCTCCGCGGCCCCACATGTTGCTTGCTTCCCTCCCAGAGGGCCCCGCGAGACCTCGCTTCCCCCCCCCACCCACGCGCCCACCTGATTACCCTTTTCTCCGTAGACTCCGCCCCCGCCCTCCCCCCCGCCCCCGGCCTGTTTGCCTCCTCTCGGAGGTCCATATGGGACATTTCCCCCTTCCTCAGACCCTCACGCCACACCAGACAAGCCTCGATTCTCCACCTTCAGTTCTCTCCCACTACGGCCCTCACTTCCCACAGCTTCCTAAAGTGTTGCGAGAGCGCAGAGGGGAGCCGCAGGCCTGCACGGCCCAGGTGCTGTGTCAGCCTATCTGCCGGTTCCGCGGCGTGTACGGCCTGGAAAGTCACATGGCGGTGGGACCGGCCGGCGCCTCCACACTCCTGCTCTCCTCACAGCTGGGCGACATTACCAAGTCCACTCACCTCCACGAAGAGCAACATGTCTTCCTCCGCTCGGCCCAATCGTTCTCGCTGCCGCGACTCCAACGGGCTTACAGGCCCGAACCCCAATCGCTAGGATAAGGACACTCGCCTGGCCCCTCCACCCGGCAGTGGACCCGGCTCCTCCCCCGCCGTCAGCCGCTGCGGCCCGACCCGCCCAGTCCCACCTCCCTTGAAAGAGCAACTGTTTCCGGTTCTAGAAAACAATTGCTTCCGGGAGAAGAGACACCCCCTCGGCGCGCTCAACTTTTGCGCTACCTTTTCCAGCAGCAGGATGGGATGTACTATCATCAGGCCTGGGGGGAGGAGGGAAGCGATCAGAGGAAGACGCCATTCTGTACTACGGGGGTGTGAAAAAATCCTACGCATTTTATCCCCCGCCAGAGGGACGGGTACTACCGCTATGAACAATTACGCAGTCTTCATAGTTCAAAATCTAGATCTGATAAAAAGGCAAGTTTGTGTGAGGGGTACTGGACAGACGCCCAATCCTTCCGAAAAGGTGGTGGCTCTCGCAGAAACAAAGTCGAGAAGAAAAAAAAGCAAGCAGATCTAATAGTAAATATGTTAATCGCCGCTGCTGTATATTAAAAGCTTACTATGTGCCTGACATTATCCTAGGTATCTTATGTGAATTAATCTTTAAAAAGATCTTATGCAATAGGTTTTATCCCCCCTTTTTTACACTTGAAGGAACCCTCTAGAAGGGCGGGTTTCCCCTAGACACACCTTTAAAGAACTTTGCCCTTTACTTACATCAGGTATCCACATCTATGCTACTTAATAACACTTAGTATGGATAGCCTCTTCATTGATATTCTGTCATGTTAAATGAAGTACAATAAAAACAAAATTCAAAAAATCATCTTTATACTTTTCTGTTAGATGATCCAAATTCCTTTTTATCTTGAGCAATACCTAATAAGCTTTAGCCCTCCCTATCAGTCCTACTTCTTTTTCCCAGTTCACTTACTTTTGAAATAATTATGTGTTGATTTTTTTCCACTGATTTTTTCCAGTCTATTATTTCAAAAATCTTTCTAAATTAGTTTCATTTTCACCAAACTGCTGTTACTTGCTTTCAGGACCTTACCATTCTGACCCCATGTAATCTCCCTTACTTTACCTCAAATGAATCTTCTCCCTTTTTCACTTAGATGCCAAATTAATTCCTCCATCAAACTCCTGATACTTGTATCCCATCCTCTCCCTAATCTGATCCACAGTAAACTCAACATTACTTCATCTCAATAAAATCAATCTCCTCACCTTTCCCCTGAAGGACAAACCCAACACTCACCTCCAAAGCCATGGCTCAAGGTGTCTTCACTATCTGGAATGTCTTCATTTGTCAATCACCTTCTCTGTCCATAGGGCTTTCCCAAAGACACTGCTCCCTTTCTTCTTCATGTCCCTTATTAGTGCTCAAATATTCTATCTTAAATTTGTTTCTTTTCTTCTTTTTTTTTTGTTGTTTTGTTTTCTTTTTTAGTTTCTTCACAGGTACCCTATCATTTTTCTTCACAGTCTGAGATAATAGTGGCTACATAGTAGTATCTTTCAACAAATGTTTGACAAATTGAAAGGGAAGAAGAGAGGTTTTAAACTTTGCTTTAAAAAGCTTTCATTTCCAGTTGCTGATGAAGTCCATGCTGCATAAAAAATATGAGAGAGGGAGAGAGCACAATAATCCTAAATTAGTTTAGTTGACACGCATGTAGGCTGCTTTGTGAATGCCTGCTGGGGTAAGTAAGCAACGTAAAAAAAGTCACAAGAAATAAAAGTTACTTGAGGATCTCAAAATCAAATATTATCAATGAAGTACTTAGATTGATAATTTCAAGAAATGCTGGATAATCATGGATATTTTAATCAAACTTCACATTTATTAAAAATTCTTAATTGTACTCCTTTCAGAAAACATTATTAATTTTGTTGGACATAATTGTGATTATGAAAAAGGAGGGAGTAATTTTTATGATGGGGGGCAGTCTAACAATAAAATAAAGTGTTCTGGGGCTTAGAAAAATTTCCATGGAAATTGAATCTGAGACTATAAGAAATATCCAAACTTTAGAAAATTTCTGCAGAGAAACTGAGGAAGAATATGTGAAGTGTTAAACACACACACACACACACACACACACACACACACACACACACACAACTAAAACACAGCATCTTGTTTTGAGAAGTTCACCAGCTAATGGACAGAGACAAAAATAGTTACATTTCAATGAGATAAGTACTATAATAGAAAATTTACAAAGTGTTTTGGGAACACAGAGGAGGGGATAACTTAGCAGGATATTAGAAGGGAAAATATTTAATTTGCTGTATATTGATTGATTTCTTAAAAGACAACTATTTTGTGATCCCCTGCTTCCCATTTTCTGAAGGACCGAAACACATATTTAAATTTACAAGTTTACACCAAGAACTCAACATAGGAAGTTCCTGTAGAGAAATTAACTTATACATTCATAATTTGTAGAAAATCTTAATGATATTAGATAGTTAATGAATACCTATACCTAGTTACATAATAAAACTATATAAACAGAGACTAGACACAAATACCTCAAATTCAGGACTGTCATTACTTCTGAAAAGTGGCAGAGGGGAAGCAAGGAGTCTATGGAGAATACCAAAAGGGACTCCAACTTTAGCTCCAATGCTTAATTTTATTTAAAAATTTCGGAAGCAAATATTACAAAAAGTTAATATTTGTTCATTCTACGTGATAGGCACGTGGCTATTTGTTATATTACTTTCTGTACTGTTTCATATTTTTTTAATGAAAAAAAAAAGCTACACAGCCAACAAAACCACCCTCTCCTTTTATTGCTCCAGGGTCCTAAATCCTTTCACCTCCTCCGCAATCAAAGGAGCTGCCCAGAGCTGCCCAGAGTACCCCTCTCCCAGTTACAAAGCAGTATCCAGCGTTCCCTTCAATTTCTCCAGCCAACTATGGAATTTCAAAATCTTCAGTCAAGTTCCTGGAAAAAATGAGTAACTAGGCAGTGCAAAGAGTGGGATCTTCATCCAAACAATATCTTCCAAATTAGAGATCTAGGACAAGTTGAGGGGCAGCTGAAGAAGTTGTAGCACACCTAATCAATTACAGGCTTAAAAATTCTTAAGCAAAATCTCAGGAAGAGAGAAGAATCAGGAGTTGCATTTGACATACTGGATCTTGAATTCTAACACCCAGATTTTAAGCTTATTTAAGCAGGACTGTATCTTCTATTTCTTCTAGCGTTCCTGTTGTCTATTCTTTCCTACCCTCCCACCCCCCTTCACCCCTCTCCAATCACAGCATATAGAATGCCTACTTCTCTGCATACAGTAAGCACTCTTGAAATGTTTGAGTTATTGAAGACACAATGCATCTATTATGACATCACCAGGACTGGAATACCATGGTTAACAACCAATTAGTGACGGGGTAGACCACAAACTCTGGGAGCAGGAAAGACCTCTTCCAGCTTCCTCGTGGATATTATCATTTGCCTATACTCGGTGAAGAGAAGAAATAAAAGAAAATCACTCAACTTTTCAATATAGTTATCAAAATGCAAAGTGGGATAGACACTGATTCTGAATCAGACAAAGAAGTAGTGGATTCCACCATCACGTCCATAAAAGCCCTGTATAAATCAGAGGTCCCTAAGCTGGAGATCCCACTGGCAGTGCAGAATGTCATCTCTAGAATTGAGCACGCACAGCTTTGTCGAGCCAGAGAGGTAGGTAGTAAATGAGAAGTTTACAGATTACAACTTTCTTTTTTTTTTTTTTTAATTTTTTTTTTCAACGTTTATTTATTTTTGGGACAGAGAGAGACAGAGCATGAACGGGGGAGGGGCAGAGAGAGAGGGAGACACAGAATCGGAAACAGGCTCCAGGCTCTGAGCCATCAGCCCAGAGCCTGACGCGGGGCTCAAACTCACGGACCGCGAGATCGTGACCTGGCTGAAGTCGGACGCTCAACCGACTGCGCCACCCAGGCGCCCCTACAACTTTCTTTTTTAATGATCATTGATAAGCTACATTTTTTTTTGGAACTCGTTTTATTTTCATGATCTTTGTGTTTGAGGTAACTATGATTTCAAATGACAATTTCACCTGACTCTGTGGATTACAAGCTCCAATTTTATGTTAATCTCTTTAACTTTCCTATCAGAATTAATCAAACCTTTTAAGAATTAAATCACACATGCGGTTGAGTGATTGGGGTAGAAAGAAAAATTAAAATCTACAGCTAATATTAGTATCTAATTTCAGTCAATAGTTTTAATTTGTTCTCATCTGAGTTTTTGTCAAATAGCTGTTAACAAGAAGAAACAGCTTGGTTTGAATTCCAGTTCCTTTAATTTCCCCCAAACACCTCATGGAAGGGGATTTCATTGGCCAAGAGAAATCCAAGGACAATGAACAAAAAGCTTAAATAGTATAACAATCCAATAAACCCCAAATAATTAAGGCTATACTGCATTTTAGTCTGTCAAATAGAATACAACAAAACCAATCAGATTAAAAGAAATTAATTCAGGGAAGTTTTTTCCTATGTTTAAGGAGTGCTAAATTTTTGTACTTTCTCATTCTCCGCATAAACTCTCCACAACAAAGAACAATAACCTGGTATTTGCTTCTAACAACTTTAATTGACACATAATATAATTGACACATAATAAACTGTATATTTTTTAAGTATAAAAGTTTTGATATACATAAAAACCTGTGAAACCTTCATCACAATCAACATAATGAACTTACCCATCACTCCTGAAAAGTTTCTTCACACTCCATTAAAATTCCTCCCACACACCCTTCCCCACCCCCACCCCAATCTCTAGGCAACTGACAATCTGCTTTCTTTACTATAGATTATTTTGTATTTTAAAATAATTTTATGAGAGTGGAATCATACAGCATCCACTTTCTTCTGTCTCCTTTCTTTTAGCATAATTATTTTGAGATTCATCCACATTCTTATTGATATGAATAGTTCATTCTTTTTTTTTTTTTTTTTAAGGTTTAAAAAACCTGTTAGTGCAGAGCCCAATGCGGATCTTGATGCAGGGTTTGATCTCATGAACCATGAGATCTTGACCTGAGCCAAAATCAAGAGTCAGACGCTTAACTGACTGAGCCACCCAGGTGCCCCAATAGTTCATTCTTTTTATTGCTGAGTATTTCTCCATGGCATGGGCATTTGGGTTGCTTTGGACCTGGGGTTGTTACAACTGAAACTGCTATGAATGTTTGTTTACTTTTTCATGACTTATTTTGTAGACCTATGCTTTCATTTCTTTGGAGTAAATATTTAGGTTGGAATGGCTGGGTCATGTGGTATGTAAATGTTCGATTTTATCTTTTTTTTTTTTTTTTTAAGAAGTCACAGGTCACAATTTGGCTAGTGAAGGAAACACTTCTTTTTTTTTTTTAATTTTTTTTAACGTTTATTTATTTTTGAGACAGGGAGAGACGGAGCATGAACACGGGAGGGGCAGAGAGAGAGGGAGACACAGAATCTGAAATAGGCTCCAGGCTCTGAGCTGTCAGCACAGAGACTGACACGGGGCTCGAACTCACAGACCGCGAGATCATGAGCCAAAGTCGGACGCTGAACCGACTGAGACACCCAGGCGCCCCATAAATGTTCGATTTTAAAATAAACTACCGAACTGTTAAAAAGTGGTTATATATCTGTTGGCTATCTGGATGTCTCCTTTGGAAAAATGTCTATTCATGTCTTCTGACCGTTTTTAAACTGGTTTATTTGTTTTTTGGGTATTGAGTTTTAGAAGTTCTTTTTTTGGTTTGTTTTTAATGTTTATTTATTTTTTGAGGAAGAGAGAGAGACAGAGTGTGAGTGGGAAAGGGCCAGAGAGAGAGGCACAGAATCTGAAGCAGGCTCCAGGCTCTGAGCTGTTAGAACGGAGTCCGATGCGGGGCTCTAACCCACAAACTACCAGATCATGACCTGAGCCGAAGTCCAACGCTTAACTGACTGAGCTACCCAGGCGCCCCGAGTTTTATAAGTTCTTTATATATTTTGCATACTGACCCTTTATCAGACATGTCATTTGCAAATGTCTTCTCCCATTCTGTAGGTTGCCTTTTAGTTTTATTGATTGTTTCTTATGCAGTGCAGAAGCCTTTTATTTTGATAAAGTCCCAATAGTTTTGTTTGTTTGTTTGTTTGTTTTTATTTTTGATTTTTGCTTTTGTTTCCCTTGCCTCAGGAGACATATCTAGTAAGAAGTTGCTGTGGCTGATGTCAAAGCAATTACTGCCTATGTTCTCCTTTAGGATTTTGATGTTTCCTGTCTCATATTTAGGTCTTTAATCCATTCTGAATTTATTTTTGCATGTGGTGTAAGAAAGTGTTTCAGTTTCAGGAGTGCCTAGGTGGCTTAGTCAGTTAAGCCTATGACTGTTGATTGAGCTTCAGACTCTTGATTTCGGCTCAGGTCATGATCTCACGGTTTGTGGGTTCATGTCCTGCTTCGGGCTTTGTGTTGACAATGCAGAGACTGCTTGAGATTCTCTTCCTCCATTTCTCTGTGCCCCTCCCCTGCTAGCTCTCTCTCTTTCAAAAATAAATAAATAAAAACATTATTAAAATGTTTTTAAAAGAAAGTGGCCCAGTTTCATTCTTTTGCATGTTGCTGACCAATTTCCCAATACCATTTGTTGAAGAGACTATCTTTTTTCCATTAGATATTCTTTCCTGCTTTGTTGAAGATAAATTGACCATATGGTTGTGGGTTCATTTCTGTTTTTTCTATTCTGTTCCACTGAACTACGTGTCTATTTTTGTGCCAGTACCATCATCAGGGAAATACAAATCAAAACTACAGTGAGATATCACCAGTCAGAATGGCTACAATTAACAACACAGGAAACAACAGGTGTTGGTGAGGAGGTGGAGAAAGGGGAACCTTCTTACACTGTTGGTGGGAATGCATACTGGTGTAGCCACTCTGGAAAACAGTATGGAGATTCCTCAAAAAGTTAAAAATAGAACTACCCTATGATCCAGCAATTGTACTACTAGGTATTTACCTAGGTGATAAGGATTAAGATGTTTTGTGGACGTGTGGAACGACTATATTGTACACCAGAAAATGATATTACACTGTATGTTAACCACCTGGAATTTAAATAAAAACCATTAAAAAGTAGTTATACTATTTTATATTCCCACAAGCAGTATATGAGTTTTCAATTATTCCACATCTTTATCAACACTTCATGTTTTCAGTCTTTTTAATTTTAATCATTCCAGGGGCACCTGGGGGGCTCAGTCAGTTAAGTGTCTGACTTCGGCTCAGGTCATGATCTCACAGTTCGTGAGTTTGAGCCCCACATCAGGCACTGTGCTGACAGACGGCTCAGAGCCTGGAGACTGCTTCAGATTCTGTGTCTCCCTCTCTCTCTGCCCCTCACACTCTGTCTCTCTCTCAAAAATAAATAAACATTAAAAAAAATTAAAATAATAGATTCCACTCTCTGAAGGGTTGGAGAGTCTAGATCTTTAATTTTGACCATTCCAAAAGGTATATAATAGTATCTCATTATGGTTTTAATTTGCATTTTTGTAATGACTAGAGATTTTGAGCAACTTTCCATGAGTTTATTTGCACTCAGTATGTCTTCTCTAGCAGTTCAAATATTTTGACCATATTTTAAAAGTTTATTGGTCTACGTTCTCATTATTGAGATTTGAGTATTTTTATGTCTTCTGATTACAACTTTTATCAGATAGGTGGTTTGCAAATATTTTTTCCAATTCTGTGACTTGTCTTTTTTTCTACTAATCGTGTCTTTCAAAGAACAAAATTCCTTAGTCCAATATATCAGTGTTTTCTTTCTTCCAAAGCACTCTTTGACTAACTCAAGGTCACAAACATTTTCTCCTATGTATTCTTCTAGGAGTTATACTTATAGATTTTACATTTACGTCTATGGTTCAACGTGTCTTTTTTTTTTTTTGGCAAGTGAAAAAATTTTATTTCATAGTTGTCTTTAAAACCACACAGACACTATGCTCTTCATATAAAAACATTAGTACAAATAATTATACTTTCTAGAAAATGATTATATAGACACTCTCAAAGAAAAATGTACACCATTACATAGTTTCAGAGAAGTTGCTTGGAAAAAACTCACATCTGGACTGATTCCTAAAACATACCATAAGACCCTGCATATTTTGGTGCAAAGTATAGATTATTGTCATCAGTACATGATCCTGAATTCTTACACATTTGATAACATGCATAAGGACTGGTTTATGACTTAATGTTCCATTGGTTCACCAGCCTTTTCTGCAGGTTCATCAGCAGGTTGAGCAGGCTGTGCCTTTGTCTGTGGTCTTTCTTCAAGACCTTCCAGGAATGGAGATACATCATCATCATCATAAATCGTAAACTCCAAGTCTTTACTAAAAATTCCAATGGACACATTCTTTGTAGTTAAGTCCTGTTCTGCAGTGTCTCTTATAAGGCACGCAGACCATGTTTAACCAGTTCATTCAAATTGCACTCCATAAACCCAGACATATGTCTCACCAAGTAAGTACGAGCTCATTGAAAACAAGTTCCAATGGACATAGCTCTACAGTCGAAATAGTTAGCAGATAGACAAGTTTGGAAAATGTGAGGGCCCATATTCATAACCAACAATAAGCAGTCCAACACCATATGGTCTCTGGCCATATCGTTGCGTTGGTATTTGG